TCACCTGGTAAAGTCAGCATTTTTCTTGGTAATTCTCCTCCTAACGACCCGCAACAAACACAAATGATAACTTTTTAAGTTTTCTTCCACTGGTGTGAGCCAGTGAATGAGGGCCCTTACCGCAATAACAGGCATCTTAGTACAGCAACTATGGACTTTGCAGATAGCACTCCCTGCTCGTCAAAAACTTCAACTCTGGCTTTTTTGTTTTACTTCCCGAGGTTCAGTTCGTTGCCTTCTCAGCGAAGATGCCTACGTCTTGGCAGTTCTTTTCAGCAAAGCTTTCGGATTTCGTAGGAATGATGCAGATGCAAGTTTAGAAAACAGACCTCCGGCCATTGTCTATGTTATTTTATTAATAGCACCACAGAGTCTGATTAGTTGAGGTGGCAATATCTGCGTGAGTAAGCCCCGTTTCTGCATGCATTGCATATGAACGTGTGATGTTTTTGCACTTGGCCGAGGGCTGCATGCCAGTAAAGGCGCACCTCAATGACCTTGACTGAAGGTCATCAGTTCGCAGTGGCGTGCGATGTCGATGCCTGTATGCGTCAGTGCACGCTTCCACAGTTCATTCTTTCCAGCAAGTCTACATCTCATCCAATCGGGCGGGATTATTGTTACATGGAATATCAGCTGAGAACACCTATTTTGCACGCTTTTAGATGTGACTCAGTGATTAGAAGAAGATACATAGTATTGAGCCTTTCATGGCAAAACTATATTTGGAGTAGATGACTATAACTGCATTTTCCCCACATTTTAAGTGGAGTATAGGAAGATGCGATATGATTATGCCATTCCATACGTTGGATTTAGATTTTTCATTAGTGTTAAAGTAATTTTGGGTTACGTTATGAGTGAAGGCCACAGTTAAAGTTGACCGTAGGGGCAAGCTGTAGAATAGAGTAACGCCTAAGATTAGCATTTATTTTGTAGTTTATGTAAGGGCTAGGACACGAGAGTATTTACTCTCCCTGAACTTATGCGCGGGTTTAGCTTGAGTACTGTGATAGGGCGTTCTTCTTCCCCTATTTCGCCTGGAGGTCCATATAAGTCATTCTTACCTATTGAAAACATTAAACTTAGACCACAGGTACAACAGAGTCTAACGAATTTGACATCTCAACGAACCCGCGTTTCTATAAAACGTGCTAAAATTCCTTAGTGTAATTAAGCTGTGATTCTCTGAAAAATATACTTAATTTACTTACCTGCTCGCTGATAGTAACCAAAGTATGGGCCTTTACACGTATTTGTTCTTATTACGTCTGACCACTTGTGTTGCTAAATTTATTCTCTGTCGGTTAGTTTTTATAGACATGGGCATGCGTTAACAATGTTAGTGAAGACCATTGGGTCACTATCCTCTTTGCACCCGCAATTTCAACTTATTGCTCTCATGGGTTGGATCTGGATCTGAAACCTCGGACGAGGACCTTTTCCACTCGAATGCTTGAGTTGTTATTCCTACATCTAAATTACGCTCTAAGTGAAAAACAAGTTTTCATAGATAACTAATTTCACTTGCGCGTACTGTGTATGAGCGAGGCATCAAACCAGTGCAAAGAGTATGACGCATTATCACTGCAATCCATCACCTAAATGTGAGCTTGCAGAGTGAGTACAGGTGTATGGAGCTCCAAATCGAACTTGCTGCTCGACTGGTCTCGAGGCGAACGTAGGTGATTGTGCATTGAGTCTATTATGCGGCTTAGCATCAAATGCAGACGGGGTGAAAGCGTGTCATCGACGTTAACAAAGTCACCACTGATCACAAATGCATCAATTTCAGAGCGGACCCGATCGCAGCGGCGTACGCAGTCGGTGGCGAAGTGCGTCATTGCGCAGTGGCGAAGTGGTCACAATCTAGCCTCCATATATCATGGCAACGCTGTGTCTAATGCATCCAATAGAGTATTATTAGCGTATGTTTATCAATACTGGGAGGTTTTTAACTCTCAGTTAGCACTTTAGGCTTGGGCAACTTATATCTGACTGAAATGTAGGTAATAAGGCTATAGCAGATGTAATGATGAAACCTGTGTAGCGCAGTGGTGTTATTCTCTACTAGGCAAACCTACTAAATTAGACACAGTGTATAACTAGCAGTCATTATCCTTAATCTTGTCCCTCCCATGACACTTCCTTCGTTAGTTTAGACGCCAAATCTCACGCAACATTTTGATATATGCGAAAGACTAATAGTCTTTCGCTAATCGGCATTGACTCAAGTTGTGATACTGATTACCGTATAGTCTATTCTGAAGTCATTTCAGTCATGATAGAATGCGAGCTTTATAACGAGCATCGTTCTGACCACTAGCAAATGCATATATTGTAAAAACTGGCTACTTAAGTAGAATGCCTTTTTATCATATATTTTGACTGCCTTTATAAATTCAAATATATTTTATTGAAAACATGGATAAAAAATTATTTCTTGTACTTGTTTGATAGCAAATTACGCCTTCTTTAAATTCTATACTCTAAGAAAGGGTAGCTTTCGGTTTTAGAAAAGTTGCTAATTATGAGCTTTTTTTCGATAGTGGGGTCTTCATTTATAATACATCATATCCGCCAATTTATTAACGCTGCCCAAACCGCATAAAATATGTTCCAAACCTATTTCAATATTTTATGACTACTATGTCACTTCTTCATCAAATTGTAGGCTAAAAATTAACTTTTTCTTAAACAAGATGTATACAGTGCGCAGTTTGTAAACCTTGAATCCGAATGTAGCAGTCACTAGTTTAGAAAATTATTCGGCAATTGAGCGACTTTTTAAAACCGAAAGCTACCCTTTCTTTGAGTATAATATATAAAGAAGACGTAATCTGCTATCAAACAAGTACAAGAAATTATTTTTTGTGCATGTTTTCCATAAAATATTTGAATTTATAAAGTAAGTCAAAATAAAGGATAAAAAGGCATACTGATTAAGTAGCCAGTTTTTACAATATATGCGATTTGCTAGTGGTCAGAACGATGCTCGTTATAAAGCTCGCATCCTAGCATGCCTGAAATGACTTCAGAGTAGACCCTAATAGCAATTCGATCCGAATTCCTAGCAGACTCCAAGCGGAAAAGTCGACAATTCGAAGCAGATTCCATCTTCGAATTGACAGGCATGTCGAACCGAATTCGTAGCTGGACATTTCGAAAATTTCGAGTTACATTTTTCAGCCGGACAGCGGTACCTTACTTCCTGCGAAAACCCCCCTTTTTACAAAACCCAGTTGTAAATGAACCTTTCGAAGACGTTTTATAGTGTGAAGGCTTTATTATGAACATAAAAAGGTGTAAACAATGATATTGCATAATAGTAGAAAAGTAGATGAAAGTTTTGTCAAGTAAGTTAACTTGTCATTACTCAGTGATCCATCCATGAACGACTACATTTTTGGTGTTAATTGAGTGGACGGCCTGGACACTTGGTTATTGTCGTTGGTCCGTTTATCTGAAATTAGGAAAGAACGAATTTAATACAG